GAGAGAGAGAGAGAGAGAGAGAGAGAGAGAGAGAGAGAGAGAGAGAGAGAGAGAGAGAGAGAGAGAGAGAGAGAGAGAGAGAGAGAGAGAGAGATAGAGAGAGAGAGAGAGAGAGCGACTTAGGGAAGGAGAGAGAGAGAGACTGAGAGACTGAGAGAGAGAGAGAACAAGCAAGGGTTAGACGGAGAGAGTGAGCGTGTGAGCGAAAGCGAGGGAAAAGGGAGAGTGTGTGTATGGGTGGGGGTATCGCCCCAGTCGTGTCTGTCACATACGCTTTGCCTCGTGATTGTGTCTGTTACTTGTTGTGATTGTGTCTGTTAAGCGCTTCTACAGCGGTTTCATCTATGAGGGCGAATCTGACTCTACAATCCTTAATGGTTATACTCAAGACCGTATAAAGAAGGTAGATTCTTATAGAAGGTAGATACATATAGAAGGTAGATCCTTATAGAAGGTAGATACTTATAGAAGGTAGATCCTTATAGAAGGTAGATCCGTATAAAGAAGGAAGATATCCTTTATACGCTCTTGTTATAATTAATAACATGTGCATGCTTGAAGACGTGCGTACTAGATGAATAAGGTTTTTATGAATCGCCATAATTTGGGGCATATGTACGGAAATATATTTAAGGAAGGGGAAGGTTAAAGACCATTTAGCTCATCGAGTCAGCTATTCCTTTAGTACTCCTAGTTAGGCATCACAGGTGGGAGTCAGAAGTTATAACCAGTTAATTGCTATCGGAATTTCATGTGTCGCCAAGATTAGCGTTTTTCATAATGGTTTGATGCTAGTAGCGCAGCAGGGGTGCCATCTATAAGCTTTACAACTGTCATCATCGTCAACGTCAGGAAAAACTCGAATCGCCGTTTGCTTCTTGCTATCCTCTCGCGTGTTTTTACGGACGGATTTTTTCACGTTCGCCACTAAAATAGAACGAGGCTATTAGATAGAATCCGTCTCGCGCGCGCGAGCTCTGCAAGCGGCTCGCGATCTTCGGCGTACTGAAGAAAGGTTACTGCGCGAATGCATTCAACAAACAACGCCGTATCCATGGATACGGCAGATGCTGCATTGTTGCCGGCTCGAGTCGTGTAGATGCTCCAGTCGTAAGTGGAATCGTCGCTGTGCCGTCCGTGGAAAAACATCGCTTCTCGCCTTGCCCGCTTGTTTACAAACAGGCCGCCTGCTGAACTTGCAGACTTTCTTATACAGACTGAAATATGCTGTAGATTGCCACCGAGGCTGCGGCGAGTTGTGTGGCTGGTACTAAAGTTAGCGACACGAGAACAGCTGTGACTTTTTATTAATCAATTCGCAATGCACGGGCTGGATTGTTAAAACGTTTTATGCACTCCTGATATTTATAATGCGCTGTCGGTAATTCAGTATCATCTTAGATAATTATCATATCAAGAGCAGTTAGTTAGCGAAATCATTAACGATTAAATTGTAGTATAAATTACTCAACTATTCTTTCTAAGCATGTTGCGTGGAAATTCTATAGTACGGTATTGGCTAGGTCTGTGGCTAAATTTTTGGCAGCTATTAGAATAATGTATTACCAACATTTCACAATCGGGTAATTAGGTCTCGATTTATTAGTTGGCTTGGTTTTATTCGTACATTCAAATCTTTCAGCAATCAATTCATTTATTCAACCATCGATCTATCAATCCGCCCATCCATCCATCAGTCCGTCCGTCCGTCCATCCACCCATCAATCCATCTATCAGTCTGTCCGTATGTCCGTACTGGCGTCCGTCTGGCCGTCCGTCCGCGTACAGATGTACACATAGGCACGCAGCCACGCACGCACACAGGCAGGCACCCACGCACACACGCGCGCACACACCCGTCCTCCATATACATCCATTCATTCATTATATATTTATTCATGCGTGCACGTACCATGTTCATTCATCAACGCTTCGTTGCTGACATAATATCGGCAGAACTTGTTAAGATGCTGCTGCCAGCGGGGGTGCAATGATACTATATGTCTGTCTGTGAAGCTTGCACGTGTGTGCTACTTCTTCATTGCTGCCCGTGCTTACAGATCGTTGGTAACATTGAAGACATCTGAAATCATTCATCTGCTTTGCTCGTATCTTGCTCGTAGTGTGCTGACATAGCTAAGTAAAGTATAGTATATAGTATATAGTATAGTTATAGTAGTATAGTAGTAAGGACAGTGATGACAACATTGCGGTCTCGGTTACTGGAATGATGGCACAACTTCGTGGCCATTGAAAAAACTGTTCGTGCGCGTAGTCACCGCTACTACGCCTACCCGCGTGCTCGTGTAATACCGGAGAGTTGGTTGAAGCTTATATCAATCATCTCGCCATGCCTTGGTCTGCCATCTGGCCACTTACTGTGTAGGGTCTGCGGGAGCGGGGAAGTAAGCGAACTTTACCCCCTCCCTCGTTGCCGAGTATATAGCAATGGCGTCTGCTGTCGCTCCCCTGATGATCACCGGCCCGATCTTGGAGGTTGAGAATGTTGGCAGACGCTGGAGAGGCAGCTGGGCCTCCCCCTCCACCTCCCCCTCCCCCTTTCCCTTCCCATCCGCCACCCTCACGTGTCATCGCGGGCGCGTTAAAGCTCGGCGCGTTTTTTGTTTTCATTTTCTCCGGTCGTCGGCGTATCGGCCTACATACGTATCGGCTGCACATTCCTCGTCGCTACCCCGCGCTCGCGTGCCAGCATTGCTAGTAGCGCTGCTGCAGCAAGCCACACCAGACCACGCCGCACACGTGCGCGCGGGAGCGAGGGAGTGAGGCGCGTGCGACCGCTGTGTGTGTGTGCGTGCGTGTGCGTGCGTACCGTCGCCCGTGTGCGCGCGTGTGTGTATGTGTGCCGGCCTTTACGTTGCCCGGTGCGCGTCGAGTGCCAATACTGCCGTCGTGGGCGTGCATGTGCGATGGCGCGCGCCTGTTGTCGGTGTCCCCGTGTTTTATTTATTGTGGCGCTATTTCGGTCGGAACCCGTAGAGACATTATCGTGCGTCAAGTGAGCGGGTCGCGCGGTGCTGCCGCTTTACGACCGACTACGCGCACGCGTGCGCCTGTAAGCTATATTTACGCGTGGTGATCTCGTCTGCTAGTGCCTGGAGATGAACGCAGGAATTAACGTGCCCCGCGCCGACTGAATAACAAGCTTACAGATGCGGCTTCATTGTGAGTGCTGCGTTTAGTAAAAATTTGCCTAGAAAATATCGGTTGCGCCATGGTTCGTCAGGTATTATTAGAAATTGTTTGTTCACGATGTATGGTATATGGTATCAACTGTGTGTATTACTTTCGCCAAAGAGTCGGCATGGGTACCACCACATTCCTTAGGACTACGATAGGCATTTATTATTATTATTATTATTATTATTATTATATATATATATATATATATATATATATATATATATATATACATGTGTCTGTGAGTGCGTACATGCATATATGTATATATATATATACGCATATATACGCACGCACAGACATGTATTATTTGTGCAGATATAGATCAGCACGCTGACCTGGCAACCTTATAATATGTGAAGTGAAGGGAATGGTGGAAAGGCTGGCTACCCCCTCTGGCAGAATTGTTATACCAATTCCAAATGCTATGCAACATATTATTTGCAGCATTATTTTGACATGTAATTCCAAATATTTGTCTGCTTTGGGTAAAACTATTTATGGGTCGACACAGTGCGAAAGTACATGATTAAATACTATTATTCAAATACGTTCGCATTTAAATTTCTGAGGAGTTTGTGGGACTAAAAATGGTGCCCTCCAATTTTTTGTAGCTTTGATGATAGCAGCAGTGCTAGCAGTGACCTTGATGACACTATAGAGGACATGATGATGAGCGCAGATGAGCTTCAATCTACCCCAAGGTCATACCTGTCTAACAACTGTGGCATGAATAAGCTTGCAGGGCAGCTCCCTGTTCCTAGTAGAAAGGTAGGCTGTGATTACGTGTATTTACGTGTGGGCAATGACCCAATTTGCAATTAAGTTTGCTGCAGGCTATTGACATAGTGATAATAAAGTTGAAATATATGTGGGTGTGTAGCCACTGAAATCTAATTAAGTGACGAGTTATCACTTTCTGATCGGTTTGCACCTACCTGTGGCAATTGTTTACAGTTGGCAGCACCTAGTGGTAAAGGAAAGGAACCTAGTCAAAACTCTGCTGCATCGGGTGACCAGGTGAGGTCTCTGCATATGCAAAGGCTTCCAGTTGCAGACGCTAGGGGGAGCAGCGTGCCACAGTCGGCAGGAGGTGGTCAACCAGGGCAGGGAAGGAGGCTGCCTGCTCCGACACAGAATGGAACACCATCCAGACTAGGGTTGGTGTAATTTTTCCTTGAGTCATGAATAACATCTAGGTGAAGATTACTGTAAGATATAGTGGAGAGTATTATGGCTTATATACTGGCACAATATGCACGGCACTGATGACTCGTATTGCTAGTGAGATTTTCTTGCTGCACCACGTATGTATCAAGACAATAGCCCAAGTTCAGTAATTGTAAGAGTTTTGGGACAATTCAAAGTTGACCACAAGTTAGTTAGAGAGGGAAAATATTGGTAAATTAACAGATTGAAGGTTCCTAAAGTCACGTGAAGGTTACTTTCAAGATTGACAGAGGATTAGTAGGAGAGAGTAATTAAAAATGAATGTTTTGTGAGATATTACTGAAAAATACTTTAGGTAGCACTGACGGGTGTATAGTAAACTAGAGTCAACAGTGAGGAATGTTGGAAAGGTCTTCCCTTATTAATGCTTCACGTTTTTTTTCTCTTCTAGACCTCCACACAACAAGGGTGCACCTCCAGCTGTCCCCCCAAGAACATGCAGTGAGCTAAAATCCTCGCCAAAATCCTCGCCTAAAAACAAGAAGAAGCCGCCCAAAGGAGAAGAATCGAAGCTGAGGAGCCCACGAGAGGCAGCTGAGAGGGTGGGGCACAGTCCCAAAGGACCACACAAGGAGGAAGTATCTCACCGAGATTCACAGAAGACTCACTCTGATGGTGGCGCCCCCAGACCAGCAGTCACAAGCGCAGTGACGGCAACCATGCCCGGAAATCCCCGTACGGGGCGATCCATGGGTAAGCCGCTGACACGATCCCATGTTTATTGTTTTGCCGGTGAGCAAAGTGGTAAAAACATTGATGTTGTAGATTTCAGATTTGAGGTTGTAGATTCAGTATTTGTGGAAAACTGCTCGCCATTTTTGTTTGTTCTGTTCTCTTGTATTGCTTTTTCAAGGTATATATTAGGCATCTGCCAGCCGTTATGGGAACTCTTTGTTTTGTCTTGCCTTTCCGTAGCATGCCTTTTTCGTCATGTTTATTAGTGTTTTGTCTGTGGCTGCTGCCTTTTTAGAGGTTTTGTTGAACACTTGGCTAATTACTTGAAGCTGTGCGTGCTTTTGCACAAAAACCAGCTGTTCATACATGTAAACTTTATTTTTTGTTTCATTGCGTTTGCTATGTTTTGAAATGCGGCATCAAAGGCTATGTCATCTTGTATGTACAGTGTGAAAACCATCAACGTGGTACACTTAAATGAAGCAGTAACTATGATGCAGCGTATGCTTATGATGCAGTTTATAACTTGTCCAGGCGAGTGGGTATGACATTTTATCAAATTCTAATATTCGGTTGGAATATATCCAAAACATGGGCGTGATATTTTCCAAGAGATTTCCTTTTGATATCAGATCATAATTATTCACATTATCACCTCATTAAGGATCGAGACTGCCTGGCACGACAACACAGCTGGCCAATGGTCATCGCCTTGTTGACACAACTGTTGTCGTCGGTCAGCGAAAAGGCTCTGCAAGCTCGGCCCGATCTATACCCGCCCACACAGCGGCCGGAGTACTGTCCAGTTCATTCGATGAGGCGACAGCGCCACGTTGTGGTGGCTACGAGAACTACAGCCGTGCTGGGCAGCTGAGTTCAGGGTACATGAGTGGGTCAAGCACGCTGGACCGCAAGCACAGGATGATCCCGACGGTGGACACTAGTCAACACCCCAACAGGTAGAGCGGACGTCATGTCTGACCACAGTGCCATTCACTATCGTTCACCCTCCTCCTGACTGCATTCTGCTGAATACCCTCCATGCCATTGTTAATCGTACGATGCAGCCAACTCTGAGGGAAAATTCCGCCGATTTCTAGAGGCGGGTGAAGCGTCCCAGGGAAACATTCGTGGTGCTTTAGAGGTTGCTGAGAGTTGTGAAGGCGTGGTGATGGTGGGATGACCGATCGGGTTACATGACAGTGACAGCTACAGCCAGCTGATAAAGTCTGCTGCATGTAGCGCAGATCAGACGCGAAGAAACTGAAAAGAATCAGATGCCAGCATCATCGATTTCCGCGCGTGATAGGCGAGGCCAGTAGACACACGCAGAGTTTTTTACACGCACGTGATGCTGCACAGAATTACAGGAGGTTGTTCCCGCATATAATCCCATATCGGATGATTGGAATTTATCAGCATTTAAGCCTATCTTAGATGGCCTAATCCCCTAGTTAGGCAAAAATCACTTGATTGCACACATGACTGCCAGTCTATGTAGGGAAAATATTAATGCTGTCCTATATGGTGATCAGAGGATCTAGGGCCCATTTAACGTTTAGTTCAGAGGAAACTTATTTACTTATACATAAAAACTTGTACATGTAAACTATGTGTTAATACTTAGTAGTGCTATTAAAAAAACATTTAAACTTTAGAAAGTTTTGAAAGCAACTTTTTCATATTGTAATTTTACATGGTTCCTATATTTAGTCGTGTGCATTAGAATAATGTCTAGTTTAAATTACAGCTCAATCAAAGATAATACTTGAATTAATAATTATACGTGACAAATGTAATATGTAATATATATAATAAATATAGTATGTAACATGTAGTACGTAATCTAATATGTCTATGACAGAAGACATATGCCCTGTAGCATTGGATTATAGGTCTCTTGCCCATGATGCTCACTCGGTACGAAATTGTTCTATTTTGCATAGGTCAGCCAGTCCAGCATTACGCTCTGATGGCAGGTATGTTCCTGGAGCACCCATCATCCCAAAAACTGCTGTGGAGACTGTCATCACAAATCCAATGGCCAGGTAGGTAGTCTGTTACAATATCCAGACGTACAGGTTGCATGGAAATTAAAATAAGGGTGAAATAACGATGATTAAAATTAAATTATTGATAACATAGTGGCAAGGAAAGAAAATTGCATCGAAAAATAAAATTTGCGAAAAATGACTATAAAAGTGTGGGCTGTATAGAAAGTTTATTCGTCGATGTGAGCGTTTATTCCATGACACTTTACACTGCTTTTATAGTCAATGCCCAATATTTTGAAATAATAATGATAATAGTAATAATAATAATAATAATAGTTATTATTATTATTATTATAAATAACAATAATCATAATAGTGAAAGTATGTAATGGACTGGGTTGTGCATCTCAGGTACAGAGGCACCTCTGCCCAAAATAGTGGGCTTACCATGGGCACATTCATCCCCGGAAATCTGCGACCACCTAGCACGCCTGATAGGGGGCGCTCAACAAGTCCGCACCAGTACCTGCGATGCAGTCGCGCATCCAGCGTGCCAACTCGTGGCGGATTGGTCGAGGGCAAGTCGATGGAGTCAGTGGCGCAACCTAGTGGTCATGGCAGCATCGAGGCAGCGATTGAACATGCTCGAAACCACAGTCTGAGCAATGCTCGCAGGCTACTAAACCGCAGGTATGTGACCCTTGACACTTGAACTATGACTCTATTAATTTATACGACTATATATGTGCTTCCAGAGAGTAGTGAGTAGATATAATTAAATTATTATTGTTAAATCTTTATTGCATGTAATTGTAATTCAAATACTAATACATGTAATGTAAACAAATATCACAATGTAAACTGTGAACTGAGTTGCGAGCATGGAATGCATGAATCAGCTGCTTGTTGATGTTACACAATACACAGGGAGACCACCGACACAGGAGACAGTGCACGTGGCACAGCTAGCGAGAGAGCTTTTCCTGTGGGGCGTTCCACAGACAGGGAGGAAACGCACAGTGAGAGAGGCTACCCGTCCTCACCTGCTCAGAGCGCACACTGCAGGGTATGTCAACAAGCGAAGGGAGGTGTTAGATTTTCATAGCGCAGTCGTTCTTTTCGGGTTCTGTGCAGATAGCAACAGTGAGTGTGAGTGGAATGATACCATTGTCGTTGGTGTGATGCATGATAGACTGTAATGGAACTGTCGTCAGCAATCTTTAGAGTTCATATGGTAATATTATAATGTATGGTAGAGACCAGGGAGAAATACAATAAATATTTAATGGCTTTAAATATCGTTCCATAATTTTGTAAAAATGTTTAGGTGACAGCACCACCTGCCAGTGGTATGCTGACTGGAGGGCCCCACTGCACCCAGCCGAGTTCCACCTATCATGGGCACCCCCGTCTGTCCGCACCAAACTACAGTGGCTCTGGCGTTGGCATTCCCACAAGTCAGCACCAGACAGCAGAGGGTCAGTACGGGTCAAACACAGGTCACTACGCGCCAGGCATGGCAACTAGGTTATCTGGTACCACTTCGGGAAGAGATGGTGATGGTAAGCTTGGTGATTAGAGTTGCAGTTCTCATGTTGAGGTGACTGATGACTGAATATAATTATATACTTACATTCTGGTGCGTAATGGAATTAACAAAAATTAGTCATTACTGTGGAATGCGAAGTCATGTAGCATAACATGGTATGTTATGGAATGCAAAGACATGTATTTAGATAACATAACAAGCTATAAGATGTGTTGTGAAATTATTTTGATTTTCTCCCTATTTGTTTCACATTGGAAGTGGTTTCCTACCTCATAATATCATTTCGTGCTAGCAACTAATAGCGTAGAATCCCCTTCTCTCCCACTTGTTTTCATTGAAAGTAATTCTATTTATCAATTTCTACACTGGTGGTTTGATATTGTGTGTATGGTTAATTGTGCCTGTGCATTAGGTTTTGCACACTCCTAATCCAGTAAAAGGTGCCTTTCCAACAATCTCCAAAGCAAATCTGAATTGGGATGATATCAACATTTTTGAAGTATATACATATATACTTGTAATAATCATTATTGGATACAAACTGGTTTTTTTTTCAATTCAGTTTCATCGCTTATATAACCACAATGTGGATGTAAATCTTAATGATAGCAGGCAATGGGTATATCGTTAACGTGCAGTTTGCTATTAAGAGCATATGTTTGGAGTGATATTGTTAACAGGGATATTTGTGATATTGTTAACAGGGATATTTGTGATGTAAATTATAGGCGACACAGATTGCACAGATAGGCATCTTTTACCTTTACCTCTGGTGATTTTGCTATTTTTTGGCTTTTGCCCTTAATGCATACTAACGTTGTTGTTTTATAGCATATGTGCGATTTCGTGCACCACAACGTAACAGTTACAGTTTTGAAGTCCCACGGTTTTCTCTGCGTCCGGGGGCCTTTGACCTGCAGGATGATGAAACTAACATCTTTGGCGACCTACTAGGTGATAATCATGACCTTGTCTATGATTTCGGAAGCAGGTGGAGAGAAAAACTATCATACACTAATAATGGTGTAGGATCAGGGTTCGTACAACTGGTGCTGCAAAGTTCTTGGAAATATGCTTTACCTCCGGTCAAACACTGGCAAATTTAGTTAAAGATAAATTCGATTTGTCCAGCAATAATCTCAGCGTTATTTCATTTTTAGCAAACCTAATGCATACAAACTGTACATCTTCATTATTTGTGTCTCCGATAAAGCACTGCGTAACCCGAACTGGTAAATATTTGTTAGTCTGGCACCAGTCTTGGAATTTTGTGATATACATCACATGACTGTACGAACCCTCGATTATATCTTGCGCAATTTACATATGGTTGCTACCGCGTACAGTAAAGCCCTTCCACACCAGTATTCTTAACGGTGTAACAATCTACTTCAATAATGTTCCACGTGGTTTCACAGGATGTAATTAAGTAGCACACTCGGATTAATGTCGACTTATATACGGAAGAAACGTTTCAACAAAAGTTTAACTGCATAAAAAACACAACACAGGTTGTAGAAATGTTAGAAATTCACTACTTAGTTCTAAGACATTTGTTCATGTTTAGCAGTATTTGCTACATAAAACTCAATTAATATTCACCTAATTGTAATAATGTAAGAGTTGTATATTCGTGTTTTGATGGTTATTGTTGTTTAAATTATTATTATTGTTATTATCATTATTATTTTTTATTATTATTATTATCATCAGCATCATTCAATGCACATATACCTGCTTGTAATATACAAGCAACAACAATCATGTGAATATCTTGTGATTTCAGATCACGGATCCTCCATCTCACTTGTGTCGTCATCCTCCTCTACCTTCTCCGCAGTGAGTAACATCAACAGGCTCTATTTATCCATGCTGATGTTTGCTGATAAATACTGGTTTTTCCTGTTTAGTCAAACTTATTAATTCTGTACATGAGATCAGTGTTGTAAAACATTTTAAAATGCTAGCAGCTATTCAATCGCATGCAGTCCTTTATTGTGGTCTGTGACGTTTTAGGGCGACGAACAACCTCCAGGAGAGATTCTAAAGCTGAGACATGAGCTATACACAGCAAACGACAAGGTTTCTTTGCTCACCCATCAACTGCAAACACAGGTAGGCATAGGCTTAGTAGCTTTCTATCTTTATGTTTCTCAATTACTCTCTCTCACACACAGACTTTTCTCTCCCCTCCTCTCTCTCTCTCCTCCCCCACTCTTTCTCTCTCTCTCTCTCTCTCTCTCTCTCTCTCTTCTCTCTTCTCCTCTTCTCTCTCTTTCTCTCTCGCCCTCTCTCCCCCTGTCTCCCTCCATCTCGATCTTGCTTTATGTATTCTGTGCAGACGTGTTACACATTGCATGAAATTGGTAATTTATGTACAAAATACATCTTTTATTTTTCTACCCCCTTTTCTTTTTCACCTAGTCCCTTTCATACCTCTATGCCTTCTTGGATGTATGTAGCATTAATAATAAAATGAATGAAATCAACATCAGCACAGACCTCTTCACGTTACAAACTCTTTTCCAATTTACTATATGGCACAACACTCTCCGCGCATCATTGTCCCACACATGATCTACTCCAGAGTGAGTTTGCATGAGCCTTAATGGACAGTGACTGCTGCTACTGTGGTGGATATTGCTTATATACTGTAATTGGCATTTAGTAAAATACTGGCGGATCTGTATTTTGATCGGCCCTGGTGGAGTACTCCCGTCAGTACTTTAGATTGCAGTAAGAGACCGATTAATATAAGTAACGATAATGATTATATTCAGTTTGCTCAGGTGGACCACACATACTGCTCGTTGGTGATACCCATCTTGGCAGTAGCCTTGGGCTCTCGAGAATGTATGGCAGTGTATGCCCTGTACACACACGTATTAATTCTCACATTCTGGTATGCAGCACTTGACTTGTTATGCAATCAAGTTGGTTTTCCTCATAATGGGGGCAGGAGCTCTGACCGGTTACCCAATATTGTTGTATAATGTGAAGTATCGCTAACAGAAGTGTTACTACGGGCGAAGTATGCTGATGGCATGGGGAGGGGTGCGTAGCTTACACGAGAGGCAAAATGTTCGTTCGTTTTACTCTTGAAAGTGCATTACAGCAGCACCTCTGCGTAAGTTTGTAGTACTATAGATAGATGTAGCATGCAGTGCAAGACCATAGCTGCTGAAAAGTATCATTCAGCTCTGATAAAGGATGCCTTCGACACAGCAACGTTGTTAAAAATCAACTCTGAGCGCTACAGCTATTATTCTAACACTAATCCCAAAGATCGACCTCCTCCCTTTACGTCATGCCATATGAGGAGACATGTGCATCATGTGTATGGATGTGTGCTTGTATGTGCATGTGCTTGTGTATATGGGAGATGCGTCTGTCTGTGCTTGTATGTGTGCTTGTGTATATGGGAGATGCGCCCGCGTCTGCTTGTATGTGAGCTTAATTGTGTGTATATATATGGGAGATGCGCCCGCGTCTGCTTATATGATTGCGTGCGTCCATGTAATGTCCGTGCCTAGCTGAGTGCGTGCGCGTGTCTGTATATTAAGTACGGCCAAACGCTCCTTGCAGCTGCTCGTTCCCACACTACTACCTGTCACCACCTCCTAAATTTCCAGTGACGCATTAGAAATCTGATCTCGGAACTCACGTGAATGATATATAGCGCGTGTTTCCACTATTGCAGTCGACCCTGAATGGATTTATGGCCATATGTTTGATGCCAGGCACAAATTTATTAACGAAAAATAAACACGTTATTATGAGTCGGTATATATTTTATGAGCGGGGTTATATGGAATGGTACCTGGGAATTTTTTCTCCTAACTGGCCAATAATTCTTTCACGTAAAATGAAAGCAGTATTAAAACGTGTAACACCAGTGGCTTTATATCTATATACAGTTGCTTAGTAGTTTCATCGATGGTACCTGGGAATTTTTTCTCCTAACTGGCCAATAATTCTTTCACGTAAAATGAAAGCAGTATTAAAACGTGTAACACCAGTGGCTTTATATCTATATATACAGTTACTTAGTAGTTTCATCGATTCTAGCGGCAACATTCCTCCAAGCAGCGTAGTATTTATCCGGCTGTCCATGTAGATGGTCAGAAACGTTTTGTTATAAGTGTACCCGACTACAATACCCGACAGTTCTCTGCCAATCTCGAAAAGCTATAGAGCTCGAGAGGTAAGCTAGACGTAAATGACCATCACTGTGAGAGGAGGGGTATTTTCTCGCAGCACTAATATTGAGGGATATGTACACGCTCCCGGTTCGCTCGGGCGTTTTTATGGGTGCGCTGTTTGGCATTAAACCTTTCAGCCGTCTCCATCTACCTTCTGTGTGCGACGCAGAGCTTTATTGTAAACCAGGTGACATATCGCGGTAATAACATGACACGGAATGACTATTTACAACGTTATTTATACGTGACGTGTGTGCGACGTGGCGTCGACGCGTCTGCCCCGCACGAATGAAATATACAGGTTTTATCCTCCAGTCGCGTACCAACGGTGGCTGCTACATACGCCTGCTACATCGGATACCTCGGTGAACATAGCTGCCCACACCGGGTGGTTTCGAATCCCTACTCCTTCCTGACCACCGACATTTTTCTTGATAGCTGTCAGCGATTACAGCGTTGAATCGCGTCTCAGCGCTGCGAATCCTGCGTGCAGAGAAAAGATTATTGTAACGGAAGAATGGCGAACGGTGAACAGGAGAGAGAGAGAAGGTGGGAGAGAGAAAGATCGAGTGAGCGAGATTGATGTATCGATAGAGAGAGAGAGGGGAGTGTGAGAGGTCTAGGAAATAGAGCAAAGTGAGTGCGGGAAAGCGATAGAGACCGAGCGAGGTACCGAAACGTAAGAAAATGCGTGAGAGAAAGAGAGAGAGAAAGAACCAAAGCAAGCGAGAGATAGAAGATTCCACGTGTATCGCTTGCAAGGAATGCGCGACCCCTGCATGGGTGGTAAGCGCGCCTATGTAGATTGCCATCTCTGCGATCGGCATGTCCTTGGCCGTCCTGTAGTCTCGTGATGTATAGAATGGGGCGCGCACACGCGGCGTCGGTTGCTGCTCCCGTCTCCGCCATGGCTGCCTCGATGCATCGCGATGACACCGAAACTTGATCGCGTCCGAAGAGCAATCAATGGCTGGATTAGGCTCCCTGGCCTCCCGCTTTTATACCTTTTATCTGTCGGAACAAAGGCTCGTTGGCAGGTCCGCGGCGTCTCCTCCGCGCGCGTGCGTCGGCCAGCCGACTACCGAGGGGGTCGCCCGCTGCTCCGACCATTGTAGTCTGACGCTTGGGTTTCGCAGGTGTCTTGAACGGCGCGCGCGTTCAGCCGCGGTTTGTGCCCGTTGCAGCGCGACCGGTGTGTGTAGCCCCTTCGCTCCCGCTACAGGTAATAACCCCTTACAGATGTAGCTCTTGCTCCGTTCGCCTTTTGCTACATCTTCGCTCATGCTACCGCTCTCTACCGGTGTAGCCCTTCGCTCCCGCTACAAGTAGCCCCCTTGCTACAGATGTAGTCATTGCTCCGCTCGCCTCTTGCTCGCCGCCACCGCTCTCTACCGGTGTAGCTTCGCTCCCTGTAGCGGGAGCGAAGGGGCCACACCGGTAGAGCTATGCCCGTTGCTGCTCGCGGAGCCTAAGGCTAAGGGAATAGAATCCGCGAGTTTTGAGCGAACAGTTTGATTCTGAAACGACTGAACTGATGATAGAAAAAGAAGCAGATGACAGCAGAATTTCCGACTCTTTTAATTTGTCGATGCCTTTCAATGTAGTATAAAGGTTATTGTAAATAATATCAGGAGCTTGTAAACGGAATATATCCTTTTATAAGCTCCTGATAATATTTATGTTTTGGGCATTCTTTCTCGTGGTTGATTAACTTCCTCGTGGTGATTATAAAACTGTGGGTACGGTATATATGTCTTCGTAGTGGCATGTTATCTGTGCACATTAGGTGTGTGCGCGCACTCACGTACGAATGCGCATGCACGTGTGCACTCACACTCAAGTAGAGAGGCAGAGCGACTAGTGTGTGTCTGACGTGGTGACAGACACATACGAATGTGCTACCTACTCCACGCTAGCAGTTTGAAGGTCTCTAGTTTCCCTCGCAGAAAGACTAGGTTATCTTTACGAGGATGTTACTTCCCATCTGTCATTCCTCTGGTTGGCTAAGTCCCAATGAACGCTCACACACTCTGCGCATGCGGGCCGAGATAAAAGAAGACTTCCACGGCTTAGGATATGGCGAAAGACCGTTCAACTGGGTCAAGTAGTTGTTATCGCGTTTAGATGACTCCACTGGTAATCATTAGACTGGCGAGAAGTGCTGTTTGCCGTGTAATCGAGCGAGCGTTTCTGCTGCGTTCGGTTTCCGTCTATCGCCCGTATGGTACCCGCCGGGGCTAACAGGGTCTGAACCGGGATCATAAGTATCACTGTTTTGCGATGCATCTGGCTTTTATTTCACACTTCTTAGGCGGTTCTCGTATATAAGGCACTATATATCTGTCCTGAGACAGGTGGTTGCAATTTCTTCGCATGTGTTACAGAGTAAGTTGGCCTGCTACAGGTGGTTCGGACCTACACCGCGGTCATCATTTTGTGCAACCTCAATAATCTGAATATGTGACGCGGTGGCTGTGAGAGACAACGAAGAGTACATTGTTATAATATTTGAGTACTTCGTCTGGTATGTGCGCGATTTTCGAAAACGGCGAAATTCGGCATATTGTGCACATGTCGTTTCGACGATAACTTGACGGGATAATAGATGGGCACGGATAGTGCGATTCAATGGCCGAGCAACGCGCGAGGGGTGTTTAGTAATAGTCGTAAATGTGCATAGTGGGCGGGTTATGGGAGCATAGTACAAGTGGCTGTGTAGAATGGGACATGTGAGGGTGATGGGAAGGGTGACTCGATAGTTAGGCAAGTGCAGGATGGTGATGCAGTAACTGCTAGAGATTAGTTTAATATAACAATCTATGCAGCAGGCGAGTGCTTCTGTGTTCTTATGTCGTGTTCGGTTTACGGGTATATAGCGGGGAGTTGTGGCCACAGGCGCTTGGAACGTTTCAA